GGAAGGAGGAGGATGTTTTGACCCCTTGGAGGACTTGTGTCTGCGCATGCTAGATGACCTAAAAGAAAGCCTCTGTTGAAGGCCCACAGCAATGCCTTGTTTAATTGCCTCAAAGATGATTGAGGCCATGTCAGGAGGGACTGCAGCTGAAGCCTGTGGGCCTGTGTCTTGGAGGGAATGAAGAAGACCTGAAATGCCCTGTTCGAATGAGCCATCCCTGTTGAGAGGTGCATGAAAAAAATTCCCTCTCATATCAGGCTACAGAGAAAAGGAAGAATCAGAAGACATCTCACCCAGAGGGGCAAGCATCAATAGGAGGCAGCTCTGGAGGATCTGGTGCAACAATTGTGGGAGGAGAGATAGATCTGGCCCCTTGAGCAGCCTGCCTTTGGGCCCTTTCAAATTCTTTGTCTAGGGCCCTCTGTCTCCTTTCCTCAGCCCTCAGAGAAGCTTTTGAAATTTTGGCAGCTTTGCCCTTATCTCCATTATCCTTAGCCATCCTTTTATGGCTGGTTCTGACCCCCGAAGGCCCTGCCTCCTCTAGGTCTCTTTGAGGGATAGGGCCAGAAAGGGCATTGGAATCCCCAGATGAAGCCATGAGGTAAATGGAAGGGGCCACTAAGAACAAAGTTCCAGTAATAAAATGGAACAATCTCACCACAGTCGAGATGAAGGTAGCCGAAGGAAGCCTCTCTGTAGTTCTGCTGAGCTCCGGTGAGGCTGATGGCCACAAAATGGCATCCGCTACTCTCCTCGCTTCAAACAAGCCGTTAGAAGCATCAAAATGGCCACCGTGGCTTTTCGTGGCTTCAACGGCACCCTTTGAGGTCAGATTCTTCAGCTGCAGCTGAGAAGAGCCGAAAGGAGGCAAAGCAGTCTCCCCGGGCAGCCTCTGAGCCGCAGCTCGTGAGCTTGGTAGTCAGTGCGGCTCGAAATGCGACTCCCTGCGCTCCGGAACGAACTCGTGGGCGCATGAGTCTGTGGATCCATGGGGAGTTAGCAGCCAGGCAAGAGGCCCAGAGGCCAATTTTCAAATCTCCCGCTCAATCTGATGGAGAGCAGGAGAAAAAAAGTTTAAAAGGTAATTTTTTTGGGGAAAAGCTATTAAAAGTACCTTTCTTGAAAAAACCCTAAATTTAGTAAGGAGAGATCAATGTCACAACTGTTCAGGTTGGATTGAGTCTAGAACTGGGAAGAGCCACCAGTGCATGACGACATCACAGATTATAGACCCAGTCCAATTGGTTACTGGACAGAGCAAACCCAATCTGGCTGCTGTCTCCACTGACATAGGAGAATGGGCAATTCTTTCCCTTTCATTCATTTTTGCATTTCCCAACCTAGTTGTACATTCATTTCATTCATTTCTGTACTTTATGATAATACCTTGCAAAAAAAGAAAAAAAGAAAACCTGATTGGAAATTAATAACATATTAGTCATTGAGAGAACTTTCTAATCTGTACATGTTTCATAAATATTAGTTTTCTTTATTATTCCTATCATGTACATTTCTTCAAACATATTCATTTTGTACATACTTCAAAAGATGCTTTTTGTATATAGTGCTTGTATATTTTCTGATTTTTATTTGCAAATCTATTCTGGTTCTAACATAGTTTGGGAAAGGGGAATTTGTTGAGTCTTTATAACCATTCAAACCAAAACATGTTTCCATTTCTTGACCTTGAATAAATATGAAAGATATAGGATTGTTGCTTTACTGTTGTTGTTGTTTTAAATTAGAATCTGTAGGACCAGCCTGCAAATAAATTATTCTTCTCTCAAAGTAACTATTGTAGAGTCAAGAATTTATAAAATAATTTGAGCATTTCAAAGCACACGCCTATATTCAATATTATATGAATACTCCTTGTATTTACAAAAATTCTCACAGATCTCCTTCTTTTCTGTTTGTGGAAATAGAAATAGGGTGATAATGGGAGTATGAATATCCTATTCTACTGGAAGGGCAAATTTGCAATCAAATGATCATATATTGCAGAATTAGGAAGAAAATAGTTCATGTTCTTTAGCAGAATGTCTGTTCTAATAGAACAATGTTTCCAAATTGCTTTACCAGAAAAATGTGCCCGAGACAGATATGAAGCATAAGTAATTTGTAAATCAATGTACGAAGAAAAAATTGGCTCTGTGCTCCTTTTTCTAGTGCTCCTTTTTACCTGGAGACAGAATGACATTGCATTAACCAGCTTCAATTCCATGCCAAACGTGTTGCTGTTTATCATCCAAAAATATATACACAAACGAGCTATGTAGATCTGTCCTAATTAACATGTATATATCAGGAATGGAAGTTGCTATATCATTCCTCTGACATGTTAATTTTAATCCACAAGAGCATCATGGCTGGCATCTATACTATTCCCAGCAGTGAACAGAGAGACTCAGAACATCCAAGAATCATTATATGAAATTAGGAGAGTAGATTTGCTGCATGGATCTTCCTATCAGGATATTTGGCAAAATATAAAAAAAAACAAGCTCTTATAGACTTGAGAATTACTTCTTTATCCTTCTGTGACAATGCTTGTAATCTGTGAATCACCCAGATAGTTACTGACCTGTGGTTTATCCTGTATAAAAGGCTATATATTTAGAACAGAAGGAGATTGCTTATAAACATGCCAAGAACTAACAGACGGAGAATTCCTGTTTTGTGTGACCTATTCTAACAGAAGGAAGGGAAAGAAGAATCTGCATGCATGTTAGGAGGTCTTTTACTATAATTTGGAGGAAAACCGTGAATTATGTTTTATAATGTCAATAATTCAGAATGATTCTATGAAGAAATAATGAGTTGGAGAGCACTTCAGAGATGAACTTCAATGAAGAGAATGCTAAGTATAAGAAGCATACAGGACATGAGTCTTGCAGACATAAAGCAAAGGAGTAGACACTGGCTTGTTTGTCAAATTGATGTGTGTGGGGAAAAAATCTATAGTATTGGCAGAGATGTCAATGGTGGTAAAGCTACATAAATTCTTCTAGGATACTACAAACTACACAGTATAGTTAAAGGAATGACTTGTAAAAATACTTAGTGTGATAGGATATTCTACTGTATCATTTTTATTATAAACATAGCTTTTAAGACAATATTCAAATCAAAACACTGTGATAGGGAATCCTGAGGAAGGAACTATTGCAATTATCTGAGTTTAGTAAGACCATACCCAGAACCAAATGGAAATTTTATTTCTACCAAAACTTCAAACTGCTCCTTAGAAGCAACAGTGACTAAGCATAAAGGAATATCCACAAGAAACATAATATTTAAAAAGTGTCTTCCATGACATTCCAAACCATATCAGCCATTCTCAAAAGATGTATTGGACATTGATTATGTTTTTGACTACAGATGGTTCAGAAATGCAGTGGTGCAAAAAGTAATGGTCACTTTTCATTGTAGCCATATTTCACCACTGCTGTGAGAGCTGCATTGGCTGTCAGTTGGATTCCAGATACAGTTCAAGGTGCTGGTTCTTACCTCTAAAACCCTTCATGAACTGGTTATATGCGGACCATCTTTCTCCCATTGTTTTTGCTCATCCAGTGTGTTTGGACAGAATGGGTGCATTCCAGTTATCTTTTATTACATGTTGCCATCTTTTAGGATTTGGAAAGAACACCTTCTCTGTTGCAACCTCCACACTCTGGGACATCATTTCTCCAGAAATGTGGATGCTGCCCTCTTTCTTGTGATTCTAATAAGCTCTTACAATCTGCTTTTAGTCCCAGGTTCAGAGTTGATGTGTTTGGGAAGGACTTTGCCATTCTTTGTTTTCAATAAAGGAGAATATTTGTAGCTTAGAGTTGAAATGAGATACTCTCTGAGCTTGGTTGTTTTCTTGTAGACATTTCATTACCCCATTTTTGTTTTGTTTTTAATGGCAGTTTTTAGCCCAGGATCCCTTGTTTTGTTTTATCAATGTTTTTAATTAATTTAGTATCATATTTTGTAAGACAGTCAGAATCTTCTGGAGTGGGCAGCTCTAATAACTTTAATAAATAAATAAAGTCCTCTTGCCTTCTGAGCACTCAAGTAGCAGTTATCAATTTCAAAAATTGGAAGTATATAACTACAGCTACATTATTATGAAGGTCTATATTCATATAATAACCCTGAATCATCAAAGTTGCTGATAGAGTCAAAATAGCAGTTGCTAAATTCTAGCGGATGAACTTAATCTGCTGTTATTATTGATCCTTATGGATAACATTTTTCAGCATATGTTGAAAAGCTAAATAAGCCATCCAATCCAGTAGGCCAAGCCATAAAAGAATAAAGTCTGACGCTGTAATCTATGGAAATGTCATTTCTGTTGGCCAGACATCTTGTATTATTTTTTAAAACCATTTTATTGCATTCCTTTTTACCTTCATCCTTTTTTGAATACAACTCTGATTCCTATTTGAGTTCAGCTCTGAATTAGATTTGCCACTATCGTGAATAGTTTTAAGCTTACAGTTATATGCACGTTGTCTTAAGTGTTCCACTGAGCTAAGGACTGGATCTAAGTATTTTTTCCTCTCTCTGCCACTTTACCCATTCTGGCCTTCAAAATTTATTATGAGCAGCTAACTGCAAGATTGCATAGCTCTTTGTGGATTTTAAGTTTAGTTCTTTTAGAAAAACAGTACAAGAAAGAGTCAGATTGGAGAAAGAGGGAGGGAGGGAGGGAGAGAGATGGAAATCGCCTATTTCACTCACAAAGCATAAATAGCTTAACTTTTCAGATATTGAAATACCCCAGTACTTATACATGACATTATGTAAATCCTGGTAACATACTTTAAAAAAAAAATCCAGTGATCTCTGAACAATTTGCTGTATTTTCTGGATATAGTTAATCTGTGTTGATCACAAAGATTATATGTACAGATGCATCCTAATCTATACAGATTGTCTTAACATCTCTTAATTCTTACTGCATATAGCAGGTACATTCTTAAGCATACAAAGTTAATGATACTTACGCCTGTTATGTAGCGAAGTCTATACTGGATGGTTCCAAATAGGCCAAGTATGACTATAATAATGTGTACAAAATTTGCCAGGATTGGTGCCCACTGATAACCAAGGAAATCAAATATCTGTCTCTCCAGCACACAGACCTAGGATTAAACAACAACAGTGCTTTGATTAGAATAGCTGAAGAAAAAAAGAGAAAGAAAAGAGAGAGGGAAAAAACAGTGTTTTGAAAAAAAGTTTCTCCTTCTTCAGTACCATTAGAAACTTGTCATATCACTTGATGAGGCAAAGAAGGCAAAGAAAAGCAGATTTTCACTATGATTCACTTTTTTTGTCTTACTAAAAATGTACACTTTTAGAGCAACAGTCCACTGAAATCTATTTAGATAAAATATTCACATGGGCAGTTTTAGCAAGATACAAATCCCCATTCAATGAGACGCTGCAGCTGAAGGCAGTGAAGCATTAACAACTTCATCATTTACCATTAATAGGATTTCCATGTCTAGAATGGGTGGCTTGTGTGCAAGTCCAATACAGATCAAAATGTGAGCGCATACATGTGCGTATATGGCAAAGGAGATGTGAATCAAGTCTTGGATATATGAAATCAAGATTGATCCAGGTTTGCAAGGCAAGTGATTGCACTGCAAAATTATGATTTATTATTTATTTACTAATTATTTTATATGCTGCTAGTTTTATTACCCAGAGTAACTCTGGATGGCTTACAATAGCATGACAGCATTAAAAGGGTTAAAATTAACAATAATCAAATAAAGGATTTATTTACAGTATGGACCTGAACATTTTGTAGAGTCCTGAAAGAGATTTTGGGAACGAGATACATTTTATAAATTATATTCTGCCTTACTGAAACCATCTGAAAATCTATTGAAAAACTCAGTTTATTTCTAAGACTTTTCTTCTACCTTGATAAAACATTGAGGGGGGGGGGGACAGAGAGAAAGACAGAGACTCATTAGACACATACCATCGCTTAAGAACAAAGATGGATCATTCAGATAATTGTCTCTCAAAATATCTCAAGCTCTTGGAAACGTATAGAACTTATTTTTCTCAGGAATGCCAAACATAGAAGGTACACTAATTGTAGTTGTTCTCATTGTGTAAAGTGGAAGTCCATTTCAGCAACTGTCAAAACCCATGTAGTGTAATTTTCAGCACTATGGAATGGCTTCATATGAGCTAAATGCATCACTGCTTTACACTTCTGATCCAAGATCTAAGGATAACAGCCTCAGATGAAACGATATGACAACCGTTTCAGCACCATCACCATTCACAGACTAAGCATACTTGGTTCCAGTGAGTTGACAGAAAAAGCTAAAGAATGATAGAACCGCAATAACAGTATCAAAGTAGCCTCCCCTCTTCTGCTGCTTCCCATAGAAGGAGTTTCTCCTTAATGTTGCAAAGAACAAATATATATATATATATATATATATATANACACACACACACACACACACACACACACACAAAAGAAAGCAGTGAAGAAACACATCATGATTTACTAAAAGCATTTTGCAAAAAAATGCTGGAGAAAAACCTAATTAGCAAAATACATTGCCAACCTTATAACTTTAAAAAGTACATGGAGTTGCCCTTTTTATATGGTAACATTTGCTGAGACGCTTTTAGTTACTTATTGGAAATCACACATAATTCTTTTGAAAAATGAAATTGTGGGAGTATATCTCAATGTAAAAAATAACTTGTGTGCTAATTTGATAATTCATCACTTTTAGACTTATTGCCACATTAACATTACTTCCAAAGTTTTTATATCATTTTATGCAGTTTGTAAATTTCTATTTCTTTTTTGCTTTGATCTTTTTTTTTGGCTTTTTTGGAGAGGAAGGAGGCTAATCAAAAATATATTTCAATAAGTATAAATTAAAAAGTAAAGAGAAAATTTATCAATTCACATTAGCAACACAAGATATTTTTTTCCATGTAGGCAATATTTTTATGCAAAACATTATTACCATATTTTTCAGAATATAAGATGCTCCGGACTATAAGACACACATTAGCTTTAGAGGAGAAAAACAAGAAAAAAGGTCTTCCTTTGCTGCCATGGCCCTTTTGCCACAGCCGTGGCCCATTCACCATGGTCTGTTTGCCACAGCCCATTCGCCACTACTGCAGCCTGTTCGCCACCGCCATAGCCCATTTGCTGTAACAGGTCCACCGCCACAGCCTGTGCGTGAATGTTAGAACTAGAATGCTAGAACCGTGCTAGAACAGTTAATCAGTCCTACACCAACCCCTTCCCCTCTGCTGCAATATTCGCTCTATAAGACGCACAGGCATTTCCACCCACTTTTGAGGTGGGGAAAGTGTGTCTTATAGTCCGAAAAATATGGTATCACACTAATACCATATGTCCACTAATTTTTGATATTTTGGTAATTTTTATTTGATAGGTTTACTTCATGAACTAATCCTGGTATTTTAATCTGTTGTTTTACTTTATGCCTTTGAACGCTTTGAATGTAGAAAGAACTGTAGTGATTTTTTTCTCTTTGTTACTAAATTTACAATATACTATGGAACACAAGAGTTCGGAACAGGAGAGTAGTGTCACAGGCCACAGTGAAAGAAATACATTGAAACAGAATTCTAGAAAACAACTTGTCCAAAAGTAGTACAACCTTATTTCACCTAATAGAAGCTTGCTGTTTATGCATGTTAAAAATCATTTTCAATTTTCAGTTTTGAAATATTGCAGGAGCTTTCAGAAAATGAACTGCAACAATTAAATATATCGTTGGACAAAAAAAAATCCTATAGACTATTGTATAAAGACAGGTAAAGGTACTTTTTACCTTATGAAAGGTGGGACCAAGCTGGCAATGGCTTAAATCAGGGTGGGTCCTCGGCTAATGACTAGTGGGGTTTCATTAATGATGGCAACAGGGACAGTCATCACTAAGCTTTGTGGCTATGTGATACTCCATTTTACAACCACATCACTTAGCATTGGGAATTCCGATTCCAATTGCCATCGTTACTCAAGGATTGCTTGGACTTTACCCTCTAGATCAGGGGTGTCAAACTGGCTGCCCATGGTCTAGATGCGTCACGCACAAGCCACGCCCTCCCCAGCTCTGTAGATGAGGAAAAGTTGTGAAACACCATATGACAGCAACATGACGCAGCGAGTTCCGTGCTCTAGACTATTAATCTAAATTGTATTATATATTGTAAACTATAATAATTTTCAATATTTATAGTGTTGAAATTAGTATAGAGAATATAATGTAAGGATTATGACAAACTATATAATCTGGCAGTTAAGTTTGGTTGGCTCCATCAGAAACCTACTGTGCTCCTGGAAATAAGACAATGCCATTTTTTAAAAAAGGAAAAGAACTGTAAAAGAACATCTTGGCAAGAACTACAAAATTAATGCCACATAGATAATTTACTATTGCCCGAGGACCAGCTACGTATTATTTTTAGGAGGCCCCTGACCAGTTTTCTGACCAGGTGTTATTTTAAAAAAAAAACTGGACTCTAGCCTTCAGCAATCCAACTTTGAACATCAAAATTTTCAGAAATATGCCCACAAGCAAAATAGCTATTCTAAGAAGAGATTCCAGCCAAATCAGAACTCAAGGAGAATTTATAATCAGACTATATAAAGCCATACCACTGGACAAGAAGACATAAGTGCAAAGAAGAAAAATATGAACATTCACCAGGATAAGACAGACAAGTGAAAATGTTGCCAAGAATGTTTTAACACTCTTTTTTATTTCCCACAGTCAATGGAAAAAACTGACACTAATCAGATGCCAAGATTTTTTAACTGGAGAGTACTGCATATGAAGCCTCAGTAATATTTTCTAAAATAATCCATAGGTTTATTTTTTCAACAAAATGCTTGGAAGCTGCATTCTGGAACCAGCAGGATTACTAGGAAATGGGATTTGGGCACGAGGGATTCAGTTTTGCAGTTCTCAGTGGCAGAAAATTATACCAGGGTCATTTTAACTCAACCCAATAAGCCACTACTTGTTTTCAAAAAAGAAACAAGAAAAATAATTATTAGCCACCTGACAAGATATCCTTTATGATCTCTGCATATCCCTCAAAAATTCTGATTATGTCCTATTTTTCATTCAAATCATCTTGGAAACTGAAGGAGGGGGGTATTGGCTTTTCATACAATAGAATCAAGATATTGGACTCCTTTTTAAAATAGTCACAGGATCAAAAATGTGCTTGAATTCGAATTTTAGTACTATTCCTTGACAGAAGGAATTTCTGGCTAGAAAACATCCCAAAATGTGTTGCTAAAGTCCACTACTAAAAGTGGGTTATAATATATACATTTTTTTGGCAGATGTTGCTTTCCCGTAAAAATTGCAATTGAACCAAGAATTCTCTTTTATGGTCTCAACAGATTATATCCAGCTTATCTCTCAGCCTCCTTGTGCTTCTTGGTGGCTCTTTTGGCTACCTGGGACAGGTTGTTATTAAATACCGAATTGTGTAGTAATTCAATGTTCACTAGTATATGTATGTCTCTGCAGTTTATGGCTCATGGGATAGTATAAGTGATGGCTCTGCCCCCTGTGCCATTGTTTCTGGTTTTATTTTTTTAATCTCCAGAGTAGAGTAAAAGGGCAATGTAGAATCCTTAAAGCCTCAGGTTTTAGCAGTTTCTGTCATAGGAAATGGTTGCTAAGAACATGGAGCCCTGTTTAATTTTAACTGCATATTTCATGCATTCAGTGCAAGGAGAAAGGCACCCTTTGTATGCTGAAGATGCTTTTAATTTTTTGCTGATGGCAAGCAACATTGTCTCTGGGCTTCTTCTGTTTAGTAGGAACACTGACAGATTCAAGTATAATTTATACTAACGGTAGCCCAACCTTGTTATGAAAATAAAGCCTCAACCAAGCAATAGGGACAAGCAAGATATTGGGTTTATGATGCCTTATAGGTGTACTGTCAAGGCCCTTTAAACCATATAAACCAATGCAGATCAATTCACAAAGGTTCCTGATGGTGAATAAAATCAAAATAAGAAGTAAAATAGGTGTGTTAAACCCCAAGAGACTTAACACACTTTATGTGCCAAAACAAACAAATCCCAAATTCTACA